AAGTGACAGAATCATGTCTATGGCTGCCAAAATAAAGGAAAAACTGTTTCTTGGGTAGCGCCCACAGCACTGTTCTTCCTCCTTTGTTGGGCTCCCAGAGCATAACATCCATGCTCTGGGTACATGGGCTGTGTTTCATGTATTCACCAGATCCAAGCTGGTCAAGGCCAGGAACTGTGTCTGCTTTTATCCTCGGCATCTTGCAGGTGCCCTGTGCATATACAGAACTAGTACATATTTGTTGAAATGAATTAAGTAGACTTCAATACTGATTCTGCCTCTCAAATATTTAATTAAATCTATACTGCTAAGCACATAATGAAGGTCCAGATTAGAAATTTAATCAGGCACCAGGTCAGCTACCTAGAATGTCTCTTAATTTCTGCATAAGCAAAGCTGCAAATTCTTCTTGCTCTATTGAGCACTCCTTCATTTGATTCATTCATTTGGCATTTTGAATTGAAAGCAAGACAGTGTTATTGTTCTACTCTTTGTGCTTTTCTCTAAATAGTCATTTATAATTTAAGCCCACATGAATTGCTGTACTCCTATTATTCATGTTTCCTGACTATCCTCCACATCTCCTAAAGGCAGGGTAACAAAACTTTGATATTCAAATTTTTACTTAGTGATTCATATGTCATCCTGAGTAAGAAGATGAGTTTCCTCCTCAAAGCCCATCACTTTTTCTCCCCAAGTAAGTTTGTTAACTATGCCAAATACTGTTTGGACTTAACAGTACCACACCCCCTGAGCAGAATCCAGCCTGACTTCTCTCTCTCTTTCTCTCTCTTTCTCTTTTTTTTTACTTGCCTCTGAGTCAACTATGAGAAAAATTCTGACCCATAAAATCGATATATTTACAAACCAAATAGAGGTTCTAGCCCCTCCTGAAGTTGCTTCCTTAGGTTTCCACACTTTCTGCATTGAACTTAAATTCCTTGGCATCGTTTTCAAGGCCACCTGCCATTTTGCCCACATCTGCCTCAGATCCATGCAGGCCATATCCTGGAGGTCCTAGCTGTTTCCGCTCCAACATGGAAGATAAATGTGACAGTTAGGCCTAAGCTCTCAGCAAGGCCTAACGATGTGACTTCCGTCAAGAAGAAAAGATTTAACAGAAACAATAGTGAATCAACAATCCAAAAAGGTCTACGTTCGTTCCTCTCATTACTAAGATATAATTCTTTCCTGAGTTAAATTTTAACTTCATTTTATCATAAGTTCTATTTGAATAAAGTTTGAAAGATTACACCTAAATGCAATCCCATCTGATAATGATAGTTCTGGGACCAAATTGCAGAGTTCACAGAACCGGTTGTCATCTGACCGGCTCATGTCGGAGACGTTTCAAAGCACAGTCAACCTAGAGACTGCAGAGGGCACTACAGACAAATATTAAAGTAAAAACAAACATCTGAGAATGCAATGGGTACTGTGCGTAGCTGCATAACACAGTACGCTGTGAAATTTCTCTTGCTTGAAGCTCAGTGAATAGTATCTTTTTGTTCAGATTCTTAATAATCTAGAGCGCTCCTGTTCTTCCACTATGGTAGACATCAACCACATATGTCTATTTAAACTTAAATTAATAAAAATTAAATAAAATTTAAAAATTTAGTTCCTGAGTCACACTAGCTGCATTTCAAGTGCTCAATAGCCACACATGGCTGGTGGCTACTGTATCAGACGTGCATAATAACATTTCCATCATTGCAGAAAGTTCCACTGGGCAGACTGGTCTAGATCCTTATGCATTGTGGGAAGGGGTTGGAAATAGGATTCAAAAGCCATCTTCACCCATCTTCACAGAATCTTCTCCTCCATGACAAGTGACTCTATCCGGGTTTGTACAGTGTTCCTGTGCAGCTAGCAAAATAGTGACGATAATGGTAATAATAGTTACTCACATTTATTCAGTACTTAACATGTGCCAGATAGTGTGCTAAGGGTTCAAATATGTATTATATCATTTACTTACCACCACAATCCTGAGAGAGATAGTATTATCATCTCCATTTGAATAAAGCAGAAACCAAGGCTCAGAGAAATTGTGATCACACAACTATTAGGTTATACCATAGGAAATTGCCAATATTCAGCCATTTTTTTATGCAAGTGGCACCTTCATATGGTTTAACCTCATAATAAATGGCAGAGCCAGGTCTCAAACTCAGACCCAAAGACCATATCAAGTTCAATGTGGCTAAGCCTTTGTTAGTGTCCACCTTAAAACCGATGTCATGGGACTGTTGAAGGATTAAGTGAAATAATGTTGGTTTTGTGCCTGGCATACAGTGAGCCTCATGAAATGTTCTTTTTGTTTGAACTCCCTTCCATCTGTCGGTCTTACTTGGGAGGCAGTGCACAGCTGTCTGAGCAGATGTGGCCAGTGAAATTGGGACAAAGGCACCACTCTCATTTACTAAATCTGCCCCCCCAGGGACCTGGAAAAGTCCATCTTTGTCATCAAGACCTCTCCCAACCCTTCCCCCACCTGCCTCTACTTTCTCTCAGGGATTCTGTTCCGCTGGCCAGGTCTGGGCCTTGAGCAGAGGGAGGGGTGATGGACATTGGCCCTTCCAATTCCCCATGGCCCTTTATAGCCCAGCAGATGCACTTCATCAACAAACCTCTCCCCTCGTAGACTGCAGAAGGAGCAGGAAGGCTGGAAGTGGACAAAAAGAGGCAGCTGCTGAATTGTGCACATCAGGTGGTTATGTAAGCTGTGATCCCGACCTCTTGTGAGTTGCAACTTTGTTTGTGTGATTGTATCTGGCAAGGAGACCTATTCAAAATTTCTCTTATTTGGCAAGAGGGGAGAGAAGTCTCCCTTGGCTGAGGGGCCTGGCTGTTTGGTTTCACGACTTATGAGTAATTTCCATTCATAATGGGGAAATTTTGTCTCTAAAAAGCAATAGTATAGGATTGCTGTATTTAGTAAATGAAAATATAGAACACTCAGTTAAGTTTGAATTTTAGATAAACAACAGTTTTGTGGCAGAAGTATGTACCGTGCAATATTTGGAACATGCTTGTACTAAAAGTTATTTGTTGTTTATCTTGAAATTCAAATTTATCTGGTACTATGGTTTCGAATGTGGCCCCTCCAAAATTCAGGTGTTGCCAATATCATAGAGGTGGGGCCTTTAAGAAGTGATTAGGCTAGAAGGGCTCCTCCCTTCTGAGTAGGATCAAGGCCCTCTTAAAAGCGGCTTCCTGTAGGGTCTGGAAAGCTTGCCTTTCCGCCACATGCTCCTCTCCTCTGGAGGAATCAGCAAATGGGCACCATTTGGGAAGCGGAGAGCAGCCCTCACCAGACAACCAAACCTGCAGAGGCCTTGATCTTGGATGTCTCAGACTCCAGAACTGTAAGCAATAAATGTCTGTTCTTTATACATTACCCAGTCTGTAATAGCATCACAAACAGACTAAGAGACCCTGGCATCCTGTATTTTATCTGGCAACCATGAAACAGTAAGGCTTACAACAGGGCTTCTGTCTACCCTTCAGGTGCCAGGTCATTGCTGCTGATGTGAAGAACGCTTGGGAGTAAGGGGGAGGGAGACATAGATCTAGTTTGCCTGCTTCAGCCTGGTTTCATAATCATAGCTCCTCACGGGAGGGCACAGTGAAGTGTTTTAGAACTGTCGCTCTCAAAATGCATTCCCCCAGACCAGAAGCATCAGCATCACCTGGAACTTGTTAGAAATACAAATCCTTGAGCTCAAGGGCTTTAACAAGCCCTCCAGGTGATGCTGATGCAGTTTGAGAACCACAAATTTAGACTTCAAGCAAGAGCGTTGGAGATCAGACAGCCTTGGGCTTGGGGCCCAGTTCCACCATTTGCTGGCTGTGCGAACATGGCCAAGTTACTTCACTTGTCTAAGCCAACATTTCTTCCTAAATTAAAAAGGAATACAATACCTTATTTGGGGATGTATTAAAGAGTAAATGAAGTTATATATATATATATATATATAACCCAAGGTGCTTGTCATTGTAAGACACACAAATTTTTATTTTTAATGACACAAGTGTAAGTCCAGTCATGCCCCCAGACAAATTTGACAATCTGCATGGCAAGCTCCACTTTTGGGGTAATCTCTGTGTGCTCAGTTCAAGTGAACCTTTAATTTTCAAGACTTTAATTTCCAGTAGTCTCATGGAGGGGGAAAGGAACTAAGAGGAAAAGGTTGCAGGGAGAGAAAGGATCGATTTCCTGTGGGCACAGGTTTTATAACCCACAGACAGCCAGGGCAGAGGGCCACACTGATTTAATTCCCTTTGTTCAGTTCTTGGGCCAAAGCAATTTTCCAAAAGGCAGGGTATGCTTTTTTCCTTTCCTGGAAAGGAGAGGAAAAAGAGGCCTGAGGTGGTGAGGACAGTGTAAGGAAGGGCTCCTTCAGTGGGGAGAGGATTTATACATTTAGGCGTGTTTCACAGGTCAAGTGTAGGGGCTCCCATATTAAGTCTGGATCAGGGCTTCTCAAGTTGGGCACTATTGGCATTTTGGGCAGGGAATTCTTTATTACAGGGGCTGTCCTGTGCATTGCGGGATATTTAACAGCATCCCCAGCCTCTGCTTGCCAGATGCCAGAAGCCTCCTTTCTCCTCCCTCACAGTAGTGACAATCAAAAGCATCTCTAGACATTGCCAAATGTTCCCTGGGGAGTAAAACTGCCTTTGTCTGAGAACCACCAGTGTAGAGAATCTTAGAAAATGCCCACTCAATTTTCTATCATTTATTGAGCATTTAAAAATATTATCTCCAGTCCCCACACTCATATTACAAGGTAGGTGTTATTACCTACATTTTAGGATTGACGAAACTGAGGATCAGACGATTAAAGTCAATTGCGCAATATCATACAACTGGTAGATCTGGGATTCTGGTTGAGATTGATCTAACTCCAAAGCTTGTATAGTTCCTGCTGTAACACTCACTCTCTTTGGAAAATCAAGACTATTTTTCTTTAAGGAAATTCTTCTCAAGTCAATTCAAGTCCAAAACTATTTATTGAGCTAGATGCCATGAGAAGCTACAGGAGAAATCTAAGCTGTTGCTCCTCTCAGGTTTTCAACATCAGTGTCATTGGGAAGGTCAGACCCTCAAGTGCCACAGTTATAGAGCAATATGAGGCATTTGTTGGGGCCAAAATGAGCATTTCTAGAGGCAGAACTTTGTGAATGGAATGCTCTTTGTGTATACCTGCTTCACGTGTCTCTTTTGCTGCCAATCCTGATGATTAAAAGAAAGGGGGGTAATAAATGAAGCCTTGGAGTTCATGGAATCTACCAGCCACCTGTCCTACTAATTCTCTTGCCGGGGGGTGGGCTGCGAGTCGCTTCCAGCCAAACACTCGGCCATCTTCTTTCTGGCTCTCTGCATGAAGTTCACCTTTCCCCTCTCCCTGCGGATGGCAGTATACTCATAAGCCTTGAGCTTGCTGTAGTAATCTGAGAACTTGTTGTAGAGGATGGAAATGGGCATCCCGTTGAGAATGATCCCAAAAGCGATACAGAGGAAGGCAAAAAGCCTGCCCAGGTGGGTCTCTGGGTACATGTCTCCATAGCCCACAGTGGAGATGCTCACCTGTATAGGAGCGAAAGCAGGAAGGAATCATTAGCACCATGAGGGAGAAGAAAGGGAAAGAAGCAGGCAGGGAAGTGTCTTTTGTCTCCCTACAGGTGCACGTGGGAAATGTAATGGCTGCCCACAGAGCCAGCTTTAGGAGGTACCAGGAAGTCTGCCTGTAGGACCTGTGTCCTGGAAAGAATACAAGCTATGGAGCTGAAAGACTTCGGTTTCAATTCTGCCTATAACTTATGCATGTTCTTATATACAACATAGGGGGAAATAATACCTACTTGAAAGAGTCATAAGAAGCATTTAAAATAACATTATGTTAAGTTCCTGGTGTAGAACATGCTGAGTAAATGTTGGTCTTTGCCTCGTCCCCTCAGCTGAGGCCAGCTTCAGGACAGAGTGTCCCTGGGTTTGCCTACATGATGGATATATTGGAAAGAGCTTGGGCTTAGGATCAGGCCTGGGTTCAAGTCTCGACTCCAACCCTTTCCAGCTGAGTGACCATGTGCAAAACATTCAGACTCTCTGAAAATTACCACCCGACTCTCGGTATTCTTGTGGAGACTAAATAAGAAAATGAACATAAAGCACTTAACCCAGTACCAGGCACACGAAAGGCATTAAACTTCTCCACTGTCTTCCTCTCATCTTTAAAATGGAGGCAATTATACTTCTCAGAGTTGTTACGTAGTTCAAATGCGAGACTTTATATGAAGGTGCTTTAATTGCAAATGTCTGGAGAAACGCTCTCATTATTTTTCGAAAGGACTATCGTAGACATCACTGACCAAAAATATGTTCACCGCTGCATGAAATACTTCCTATCACTCTTGTCACATTGATTTAAATCCCACTAATTGGAGACTTATTTAGGTTAACAAGCTTCTGTTTTAAAATGCAGATACCCGTGGGACTAGTTATCTGTTAGTGTAGCCAGAGAAAACCCTGGGAAAATCCCCTGGGTACTGTTTTTTTATGCTTCATGTACTCCCTTTGATCCCCAGGGTATTGGTTAAATTACTAGAAGCCTTTTAAGCAGGGCTGTTACTTACAGTTGTAGAAAATTTTGCATTGCACAACTCCAGGGGGTGCTCTTTGCTTCATGGGTTTGTGTAGTTGTTGCCACAATTTTCCTTTGTACACTTTTCCTGGCAGTAAAATGTACAAAGTCACCCTGTTGACCCATGCTGAGGTGGCCTTTACCTTAGGAGTGTAAATGTTTTTGTTTTGGTGACGTAAGGGTTGGTTTGAGCATAGTGTGGTTGGTTAGAATGAAATGGAGAAGTGAATCAGCTGGGCTAATCTGGGGGACTGATGCGAACCACAGCTCCATCTTGCCCGTGGAAAGGGAAAGGATGTACTTCCTCTCTGGCGGGGTCAGATGACGCACCACCTCTCACTGCTCCATCTCTGGCAAGAGAGCTCCTGAGAGGTGTGCGGCCATTTCTTGCAGTGGTGGAACACAAGCATCAAAGAGGCTGGATGGTGTAGATGAGGTGACGGAAACAGGGAGCATGCTAGACTTAGCGAGTCTAAATCCACTTTCCAGCTGAGTGAGTTGGGCAGGACATCTAAATTCTCTCTGCCTTGGTTTCTACTTTTGACGTGTGAGGTATCTATGTCACAGGGTTGTTACAGGAATTGAAGGGGTGCCTGGCATAGGGCGCGTGAGCAGTAGTGTTAGTACATATAACATGTAGGCAAACCCAGGGATGTCCTGTCCTGCAGCTGGCCCCAGCTGAGAAGAAAAGACCAACATGTATTGAGTACATTCTACACTAGGAACTTTACCTATGTTATGCTTATTAGACCCACAGGCTGTAGAAACAGGCTCCTCTCTGACTCCTGAATGCCGTGAGAGGGAGATTGAGTGGGGTGCCCTCTAGCTCTAGTATAGCATCTCCTTTTCCCACCTTCTGGACCAAAGGGGTGTGTGAGGCAGTGATACAGTCAGATCGTGGGTTAATCTTCAAGTCTGCTTGCGCGTGCATATCTTGTCTTTGGTCCCACTAGAAGTAAAAGAACTTGAGTCGGATCTCTATCCAGGTGTGTGCACTGAACAATAGTTTTCATATGTCACTAACATCATCAGTCACATCTCTGTATGAACATTTAATTCAGCTCGATTTTTCCCTAGAGGAGGCCTAAAAGAAGGCCTAAAGGGAGTTTGGATGTAGGAGTGAGTGGCAGGATGGTGTAGTTCTAAAACATGAAAGTCCAATGCAGAGGCCTTGGAGGAAACCAGTCACTCAAGGGTCCAGGATGTGGGGTGGGAGAGGGCAGGAGGACAAAGCGGAAGGAAAATAACGAAGACAAAGTGCTGATTTTAAACTTTTGATCAATCAGTCCCCACACTGGCTTTGCTTCAGCCTCAACTCCATTATTTATTTATTTATTTTTGGCTGAACTTTGAGTCAAAAGTCAAAAGCAAAGAGAATTGGCTTAAAGAAGAGTAAATATTTGATGTGCATAATATGGTCCAAATATTTTTGTATATCTTGGATCTCTATTTTTGAAGAAAAGATCTCTTCTGCTAGAAGGCTGTGTGTGATTGGTCCTCAAGAATTCATTCAAAATGTACAGTTAATTTATGTGTTGTCTGTTTTGTGGATAATTTGATTCAACGAGTGATCTGTTTCTTGCTCATTTGCTCAGGGAGGAACTCAGGATTCCTTGGCTTTAGGGAACTTTTTCTCCATGTTCCACAGGCCAAACCATTTCTCCCTAGATGGGCATTAAAAGCTGAAGGCCCCAGATTGACCCGAGTGACCTCAGAGTGAGTTCTCACATTAGCAAGAGTTGGATTGGGAAATGTGACCAAAATTTCTGCAATCCATCTTAATATCCTAAAAAAAAACTGGCTAGCTCAGCAACTCTGTAAACTAGAAACTTACCATTCTGCTGAAGACTTACATATTTTCCTTAGCCTTGGGTCCCAAAGCCAGAATGTGACCTTCCCCTAGCAGCTCACTCACTAATCAGCAAATCCTGATCTGCCAAACATTGAGATCAAGCATCAAATTTTTCTCTAAAACTTCAGAATACTTAGATTTCTCATTTAACAAGCAATGCTTGTCTTCCTCATAACAAACCAGGTACAGGTTTAATCTTGGCACCCAGTAGTCTATGCATCTAGGAATTATCCTAGGGAATAAAAATGATTTATCAAAATAATACCCCTTCTAGTTTTCCTAAAGAATTAGAGGTAGTGAAGATGAACCCTCTTTGGCTGAAATTATTACACACCTCGATGCGTGCTTTCCTTCAAAGGATTCAGAGTCAAAGGCTATACTCATCCATGCCACTGTTGCAACAAGTATATTTGGAATTCCTCTCTTGGATTATAATCTGCACAGAAAATTCAGTGGCAAGACCTTGATACAAGTGGCCATATCTGCCTTGATGGTTAACTCTAGGTGCCAATCTTCAACTCAAGTGTCTTGACTATTTTAAAATATTAAATCTAGCCTCAAAAAGGTAATGATTTAGCACCATTACAAAGAAGCAAATGGACATGTCACAGGCTCTGAAGGTAATTCCTCGGTGGAATTCAAAGAATGTTTTGATCAGTGGAAGCGCTGTTAGAATGAGGTCATGGGTGACCATCTTGACGACAGCAACAACCCTCATCTGTATATTAGAATTCTGACATGTATGTAAATGGTATGATAAGGAGGGGGGTGCGCACAAGTTAAAACAAGACCACAAATGCAAGTTTGAGATCTATTCATCTATCCGCAGAAAGGTACACCATAATGATTCTTCCACATCCTCGGCTTACTTGGTACTTCTCCCTCCCCTCTATAATTCTGTCATGTTCCACTCAAGTCATTGGTGACCAGGAAAAGCATACTTCAAAGACACAAAAGGGTACCACTCTACAACCAGGAATCTACAAGATCAAAAGTCCTAACAGTGCCTAAGAGCCTTTGCTCCATTTATAGCTCCTGTGCTATTTCTGAAAGAGCCAGGACAACTCAAACACCTTCTGTGCCAGCTATTTACCTGTTGTCTCTCAGTCCCAAGCCTGATTCCCTTCTGTGCTCTTTCTTGTAATTCTGTGACTGGGAGTATGCAAACTGCGTTTCTCAGATCCCCTTCCCTGCCGTCTTCTGGTTATGCTCTGCCAATGAGAGACACTGACAGGACACTGGAAGGTGGGATTAGGATGTAAGGGTCTCTCTTGCTGCCTCTGGTTTCTGCCATCATTTCTGCAATAGCAGCTGATAGCTATGGCTCAGGCATTTTTTTGGCACTCCTGAAAGCAACCTCATGGTGCCAACTTAGGAGTCCTTGCAACAGCTGCACAGAGGCGGCTGCTCTGTATGCCTGTGTTGTGGTAGCACTACCTTCTCGTGTTTATTCTCCCAATTTTAAGGCCAGTAGCTGTTCTCTGCAATTACCAATCTCTGGATTATCTCAGTTTCCCATTTTTGCTCTTCCGGTCTTCTAATACCCATCTATTTCCCTGTATCAAATTTCTCTGTTCGAAATACCACTGTGGTGTCCATTTTCTTTACTGTAACCCAACCAATTTACCATCCAAATGGATCTCCTCCAAGCAATCAATCAACAAGAATACATTTCAGTGATCTCGTGTCACCTATTTGCCAGGAAATAATAACATACTTTAGGAAAACAAAGATGGGACCAGCGTCTCTGGGACACAATTATCTGGTGCGTTAGCTAGAGATAAATTTTCTGAGAAGCTTTTGTTAGTTTCTGAAGCAATGATTTCATGCCAAAGTTTCCTGTTTGGTTTCTACAGCTTTAACTAGCTCTGGATAGCTCAGAAGAAAATGGTTTGTATACCACACAGGGAGCCGTGCCATGCATTTCCCACTCCCAGGCAGCCTAGAGAGCCCCAGAATGACTGGAGCTGCTCCAGGCGTGGGCCTGTTTGCACACTCAGCAGCTCTCCCATGATGGAACAGCTGACCCTTCTGTATTTTTCAGTTTCTCTCTGTTCCCCAGGAGAGAAGGAATCATTTCTGTTTTATTTCTCCCCAAAATGAATCTGGAAGCAAAGGTTATTGCTTCCATGTGATAGAGACTATCAACTAGTCATATAAAGTAGCTTCTATTTATTGCAGACTTACTACAGGCTAGCATTTTACATATGTTTCCTATTACATTAGTACACAAATAACCTCCATGTGACAGACAAATAAGACAGGTCCATCTTATATCCTAATACATGAGCCTTTGCAAACATAAGTGTCCATGAGGGATTTGTTTTGCAACTGTAGGAAAATTCACAACAATGCAAATTACTGTATTCCTCTTAAAACCTTTAGTTGAATTATAGAGGAAAGTTGTAGGATCCTTGGCATAGAAAGAAGAAAGATTTTTAAAAGTAAATCAGACTTGGGGTTGTCTGAAAGTACTAAAAATACATAGAAGAATGGATTAGAGAATGTCTCTAATGTTGGGTGAATATTCCACAAGGGGCAAAGTTCTGGAGTAGCAGAAGAAAATATCATATTTTTCTTTACCTCATCTTTAAATTTCAATTTGTGAGTATATGTTTTCTGATGTTTATGTCTGAGTAGTAGTATATTACTACAGTAGAACAATTATATTATTGGACCTAATTCTTTCTATCTTCCTGTAACCAAGCTCCTTGCCAGATAACTTTGCAGCATTTCCTAACCTGCCCCACCCCTTGACCAAGTATGACCACGCGACTTCCCTTGGCCAATGGGTTCAGCAAATCACATGAACAGAAGCTTATGTAGTGTTTGTGTGATTGGGCTTGCACTCTCCCTCTTCCCCTTTGCTCAAGCCATGGATACATGGCTGCTGCAGCATTGGAGACATGTGGCTTAGTCTCTCCCTCCATGCCTGCTGACCATTAGGCATGTGAATGAGTGACAATAACTTCATGAATGAGAAGAGCCTTCTAGTTGAAACTAAACTAAATGCTGACTTTTAAATTCATAAGCTAAAGAAATGCTTGATGTTTTAAGCCATTGAGTTTTGGGGGTTTGTGACGCATCATTATTGTGGCAATAACATAATTCATTTATAAACACATTTATCATGAATATGTGCTCAGAAATTTTAAAAATTATGAGATGTATGATCAATAAAATGCTTGGAGACCACTGGATCAGAGTTACTTTCAGGAATCCTCTTCTCAGATTCTTTTTTCTTTTTTTTTTTTTTTTTTTTGAGACAAAGTCTTGCTCTGTTGCCCACGCTAGAATGCCGTGGCATCAGCTTAGCTCACAGCAACCTCAAACTCCTGGGCTCAAGCGATCCTCCTGCTTTAGCCCCCCCAGTAGCTGGGACTACGGGTGCACACCACCACACCTGGCTAATTTTTTCTATTTTTAGTAGAGATGGGGTCTCACTCCTGCTCAGGCCAGTCTCAAACTCTTGACCTCAAGCGATCCTCCCACCTCAGCCTCCTAGAGTGCTAGGATTACAGGTGTGAGACACTGCACCTGGCCCCAAGATTCTCATGTCTGTTTGGTCATACATATTTAGGTGAGTTTCTTCTCATCATTCAAATTCTATCTCAATGGCATCTTCCGCAAGAGGGCTTCTCTGTACCGTCAAAGGTAGACTCAACCACCAGAATCACTCTCTGTCCTATTATCCTGACAAGCCACACCAATTTCTGAAATTCTCATCTGTCCGTCTCCACTAGAATATAAGCTCCACGAGGGTAAGAACTTCATCTTTTTTTTTTTTCTTCTATCTCTCTGTACCTAGTGTTTATAACACCACTTGGTACATTGGAGGTGCTCAAACTTCTTGTTCAATGAATGAATAAGATTGATTTTGGTGCGTTACATGAAGAATTGGTCCTAATATTTTGCATCTTTTCACTTTGCATCTACATATAGGAAACAAGGCATTTTTTTCACCTTTTTTTTTTTTTTTGAGACAATCTTACTCGGTTGCCCCCGCTAGAGTGCAGTGGCATGATCATAGCTCACTGCAACCTCAAACTCCTGGGCTCAAGCAATCTTCCTGTGCCAGACTCCCTAGTAGCTGGGACTACAGGTGCATGCCACCATGCCCAGCGAGGTTTTCTATTTTTAGTAGAGAACTGAAACAATCCTCCACCTTGGCTTCCCAGAGTGCTAGGATTATAGGCATGAGCCACTGTGCCCAGCCTGTTCACATTATTTTGACAGTGTTCTTTTATCTTTGTTATACTGAGAATGTGGACCTTGGTACATGTTATGCAGTATAATTAGAAGTATAGAGAAGAATTGGATTAATAACATCAGTCCTGGGGAATACAGTAACTCTAGAATATTTGAGGGGAGTTGTTTCTATTGCTTTCATAGATTAGTTTAGAAACAAATACAAGTTGTCAGTCTTATTTGTAATGAATTTTACTGGTTAATAAAAGGTAAGGTGGGTAAATGCGAAGGTTAGAATGTGCAAAATTTGGCCTGTGAAAATATTGCCTAGTACAGATAATGGCTACAAAAGAAAACTCACCTTGCTAAAAGCAATAATTGGTAAACTTTGTTATTGATTAAAAAAAACTAAAAAACTGGTGATTCAGTTTCTGTAAAAACTTATGGAAAACATTGATCTTGAGTAAAATAATTTCAGTTAACATAAAAGGTATAATCTGAAAGTTTTAAACTTCATTATACATAAAACAAAGCAGAAAATGGGATCAATTGGTATTCAGAAAAATTTTAAAACTAAAAATCCAATATTAGTAACATAATTCTTATCAAAATATTTATATTAATATGGAAAACATTGATCTTGAGTAAAATAATTTCAGTTAACGTAAAAGGTATAATCTGAAAGTTTTAAACTTCATTGTACATAAAGAAGAAAATGGGATCAATTGGTATTCAGAAAAATTTTAAAACTAAAAATCCAATATTAGTAACATAATTCTTATCAAAATATTTATATTAATATACAAAAGGTTAAAAAAAACTTTTGTGGGTTAAAGCTGTAGTATCAAGGAGTCCACTAGGTCCAGTGCCTGTGTATGGTAGCCTTTTAAGATATTTGGATGGATGGAAATTTGACTCTAAAACTTTGTATTATATCATCAGCATATGGATTTGCTCTTTTGCCTTCCTGCTTTAGTCACCTCCAAAGTAAATGTCATTTGCTGGGGACAAATCATCCTTCATGAACTCCATCTGTACACATGGTTTATCTACTATGGGGACGACCTTTCATCACTTGGAATATGATCAGAGGAGCAGCATTTGGCTGGCTCATTCGGAAGAGCCTAACGTCATCCCATCACTGCAGAAAGCTCACAAATCCTGGTGTGTACATATAAGCTTTCCGGTTTCAAGGGAAGGAAGACTCATCGAACTGTGGACCTCTACAGGTCCAACCTCCTCTTTTAGGAATGAGAAAACTAAGAACAGGGAGTGAGGCTTTACAGTTAATTATTCAGGGTCATACTTAATTATTGGCAGATCTGGGACGAGAATCAGGTTCTCTAAATCTTCCATCAGGCTGCACTACACTGATAGTAGCCCTGGGTTGGTTTGTCTCAGAAGTTCACAACAGACTGCTGGTTCTGACAGACACAAAGTTAATGTTGAAAATATCTACTTTCTAACATGGGAAAACTGGTTATAATTGCTGAATGCTTTAAAGGCATTACAAACAATCTACTTAAAAGAAAAATAAGGAAACAATACATCTAATTCTTTCCTAGGTATATATGCCAACTTAATCATTGATCTGAGAAGACCCATTTAGCATGTATTTCCAGGGATTCGTCTAGCGTACTAGAAATCGATATTTGAGTAAATGGCATAAATTATAAAAAGGCAAAGATAAAAATACCAAGAAAACTGTGATAAAAATAACTAATATACCCACTGCATAAATTAAGCAAGACACGCAAAAGAACTAAAACTTAAAAGAGACAGTGCCTGAGTGGAAAGGGCATGGATTTTGGAATTCGGTAGGTTTGGGTTTCCTGGCTCTGCCACCCCTACCTGTGTGTCTACACTCAAACTCTCTGTACCTCAACTTCCTCTACTGTAAAATGGGGCAATAATATTGGGTCCTGAAAGAACTTTAGTGAAGTTGGAGCAAGTTTCAGTTTTAGATGCTTCTTTCCACACTCAGATTAGACTGGAACCAGAGGCCATGGAATTTCAGTTAGGGTCGACATCGTTCAGCCAGGTCTCACTTCATTTTCTGTGTGAATCTACAGTTTCCTTCAAAAACGAAAGCCATTTCTACATTTCTTCTAAAAAAATGATACTCATAACCATCTCACAGGGTTGTGATGCTGAAATGAGACAAGCTTTATAAACCATTTAGTACACCGGGTGTTCAATAAACGGTAAATGATAGTAATGATGATGAACCCTCCTTTAAAATCTGCCTGTCAGTGGTTTAAGACTAAATCTAGATGTGGAGATTCCTAGGGCCGCGTCAAACTCGGTTTCAGAGATTGTCTCCAGGCCTTTGACATCCACTGCCATTTTGTGAGCGGCACGCAGCGACTGGGGAAATGGTCAGAGACCAGAGCTGATAACCCAGGAAAGGGAGGAGCAGCATTCTGCCCGGACGGGGAAGAGGAAGGGAAAGCCCAAAGTCTTGGGACTCACCGCGGCCCACCACCAGGAGTGGGGGATGCTGGTGAAGTTGGTGCCTGGCACGTCGTGTTCCACGGAGTAGACGGCTGCGGAGAAGGTGAAGATGCCCATGGTGATGAAGAGCATGAGGCAGCCCACCTGCTGGTAGCACTGGCGCAGCGTGAAGCCGAAGGCGCGCAGGCCGGTGGAGTGGCGCGCTAACTTGAGGATGCGGAAGATGCGCATGAGGCGCATGATGCGCAGCACCTGGCCCACCTTGCCCACCCGGCCCATCGTCTGGCCGTGCTGCTGCTGGTCCTCGCCGGTGAAGCACTCGAGCAGCAGCTGCAGGTAGAGCGGCAGGATGGCCACCAGGTCCACCAGGTTGAGGGCGCTGCGCACGAAGCGCCGCAGGTCGGGCGTGGAGGCGAGGCGCAGCAAGTACTCGAGCGTGAAGAAGCCGATGCACAGCATCTCCACGTGCTCCAGGATGGGCCGCAGGTCTGGGTCGCCCGCGTCCTCCTCTGTCTGATGCTGCTCCTCCTCCACGGTGTTGAGCGCCAGCGCCACGACGGAGATGAGCACGAAGAGGCTGGAGGCCACTCCGATGGCCTTGGCGGCCACCGACGAGAAGGGCTTCTCCATGAGGTTCCAGAGGCGCCGGCGCTGCGGTCCGTAGAAGCGCATGTCGCGGAAGAGCTCCTCGGCCTCCTCGGCCTGCGCCTGGGCCCGCAGCTCGCGCTGGATCTTGAGCTGCTCGCTCAGCTCGTCGCGCCGCTCCTCGAAGCAGATGCGGCAGCAGCGCGGCGTGTACTTGAGCCGCACGCCCCAGTAGCCCAGCTCCTCCAGGAAGCTGCGCGGGCACAGCCCGTCCAGCACCAGCAGCACCCCGGACACGTAGAAGTTGTAGACCAGCTGGAAGACGGCCGGGTCACGGTCGAAGAAGTATTCGTCCGTCCGCGCCTCGTAGTCGTCGCACAGGCTTAGCTGGCGGCTGCGGCTGGTGGAGGTGGCCAGGCGGCCCAGGCGCGTCTTGGGGTAGCCGACCAGCTCGCAGTAGTCCAGCCGGTAGCTCTGGCCGCCCACGTTCACGTTCAGCGTGGACCACTGGGCCGGAGCGTCGGTGGCGTCATCAGGCTGCACGGTGGTGACTTCTTCTGGCCTCTGGTCGTCCTTGGCAACGTCATCCTTCCACTCATCCTCCTCCGCCCCATCCTCGTCCTCCTCGATGTAGTAGTTGTAATTGCCCTCCGTCCACGGCGGGATGCTGGCCTGGGAGCAGGAACGGCCCCCCACGGAGCAAATGCTCCGGCGGTGTTGGCTGCCCCCTTCTTGGGGCGCGTCCTCGCTCTCCGTAGCATTCCAGGGCTTATAGCTCCAAGACCTTCTCCTCTCGCTCTGCTTCAGCATAGCTGGGGGACGTGGACCCCTTGCTTTTCTGTCCTGGCTGTCGTAGGGCCCCTAGCCTGCTCACGGCCTCTGGGAAGATGGATCACGTGGCCTGCGCTATCTCAGAGAGAACAAACTGGACCAGCATACTTAGGGTCCTAGGCGTTGCCACAGAGCTGCCAGACAGCACGCGAGGTCTGAACACAGTCACAGAGGGCTGTCGGCTGCTCTAATCTTGCTGATGGGGAAGATGCAAGTGTTAGGAGGGATTTAGAGCCTCTTAGCCCATTTTCTCCCCCTCTCCTCTGTGACGTAGAGGATGATTATGTGGTCTTAAATCTCTAGATAATCAGAAGGCAGTGGAGATTATTGCTAATAAAAATGTTGGTCAACCTTGCTCTTAGGAAGTGCTGCTCAGTGTCTGTGTGCTGAGATGAAATCAACTGAATTAGCTATAGAATACGGAGGCTTAATTATTGAGATTGCAGACTGATTCTGGTTATTAGCCTTTAATTGGATGTATAGCTTGATAATATTTTTTCCCATTCTGTAGGTTGTCTGTTTGCTCAGTTGATTATTTCCTTAGCTGTGCAAAAGCTTTTTGATTTAATCAAATCCCATTTATTTATTCTTGTTGCTGAGATTGCCATTGGGGTCGTCTTCATAAATTCTTTGCCTAGGCTGATATCTAGAAGAGTTTTCCAACATTTTCTTCTAGAATTTTTATGGTTTCATGCTTTACATTTAAGTCTTTTATCTATCTTGAATTAATTTTGGATCCTGTTTCAGTCTTCTGCGTGTGGCTATCCAATTTTCCCAGGACCATGCATTGAACAGGGCTGCTTTTCCCCAGTGTATATTGTTGTCTGCTTTGTCAAAGATCATTTGGCTGTATGTGGATGGCTTTATATTTGGGCTCTCTATTCTGTTCCATTGGTCTATGTCTCTCTTTTTGTGCCAATACCATGCTGTTTTGTTTACTGTGGCCTTTGTATTACACTTTGAAGTCATAATGTGATGCCTCCAGATTTTTTACTTTTGCTTAAGATTGTTTTGGCTATTTAGGCTTTTTTTCTGGTTCCAAATGAAGCATAGAGTTATTTTTTTCTAGATCAGTGAAATATGACGCTGGCATTTTGATGGAGATTACATTGAATCTCTAAATCACTTTGAGTGGTATGGACATTTTAACAATGTTGATTGTACCTATCCATGAGCATGATATGTTTTTCCATTCGTGCCCTCTGCAATTCTTTTCCTCAGTGATTCATAGTTCTTTTTGTAGAAATCTTTCTCCTCCTTGGTTAAATATATTCCTAGGTATTTTATTTTCTTTGTAGCTATTGTGAATGGTATTGAGTCTTTGATTTGACTCTCAGCTTGACTGTTGTTGGTGTATAGGAATGCTACTGATTTGTGTACATTGATTTTTGTAAACTGAGACTTTGCTGAATTTATTTATCAATCCCAGGAGTCTCTTGGTAGACTCTTTGGGGTTTTCTAGATATAGGATCATATCATCAGCAGAATTAGTTTTTTGATTCAACTTATTTTGAATAGCTAATAGATGTTCATAGTTTAAAAAATTCCAAAGGTACAAAGGCACATTATAGTAGAAAGTTTCTCTCTCTCCCAACCCTAACTTTCAGCCTCCAAGGAAGCAACCACTATGACTGTTTTTTGACAATACTTCCAGAAATATTCTAAACATATACAAGCAAAAACCTACCCATCTTTATCATTTCAATAGCTCTCCATAATTAATACAAATCGTAGAATGCTATACACTTTGTTTTTTCCAGTTAACCATATATATCAGAGATGTTTTCATATCTGAACATAAATATCTGTCTCATTTTGAAAATAGCCACTTAGCAGTTTGATAGTGATAGCCATTCAGATTGTTTTCTGTCTTTGCTCTCATAAACAATGGTATAACATAACTTTATACATATATTTATACATGTTCAATGTATATATAAAGGATATATCATTAGAGGTGGAATTATTAGGTCAAAGACTGCATATTTGTAATTTTGATAGTGCTAAATTTCGCACCATAAAAGTTTTACCAATTTACAACTCGCCATCAATGGACGAGAATGTATTATCACACTTTTTGAACTCTACCAATTTTATAGTTGAAAACGATATGTGGGTTAATTTAATTTCTATTTCTCTTATGAATGTGATTGAGCATTTTTTCATGTGATTAAGAGAGATTATGTTTCTTTTTCTGGGAACTGTTCATCTACTTTGACTATATTTTCCATTGAATTATTGGTGTTTTCTTGATTTGTGGGTGAGCTTAATATATCATGGAAACAGGCCCTTTGCTTCTGATATGGATTGCAGATATTTATTTCTCAGTGAATCCTTTTGTGAAATTTTTCCCATGCAAAACTTTCAGTTTATGGCTGGTGGGTGTTGTGTGATATTAGAAGTCTTCACCATTTTGTAATTCTTAAAACATTTTCTTCTTATGGTTTTATTTTTACATTTAAGAATTTGGACCATCAGGAATTAATTTTGATGTAAAGAGTGATGTAGGGGCCCAATTTATTTTTCAAGTTTTTATCCCGATGCCTCAACACATTAATTGAATAACCCAGCTTTTCCTCACTGATATGTAGGGCTATCTTTATCAAGTTTAGTTTTTTGTTTTTTTTTTTAAGTAGTTACAGGTAATTTTAATTTCTATTTTACATATATATATATTTTTTTCATCTTTTTTTTTTTTTTTTTTTTAATTTCAGCAAATTATGGGTGTACATACGTTTAGGTTACGTGTGTTGCCCTTGGTTCCCCCCCCCTCCGAAGTCCGTGTTTCAAATATGTCCATCCTTCAGGTAGTACGCATTGCACTCCTTGTGTATACAAATACCCGTCCCCTCCTCCCTCCTCCCCCCTCCTCCCGCCGCCCTTCCCGTGGTACAGATGATTAGGTTAGGTGTGTTGCCCTTGGTTCCCCCCCCACCGAAGTCTGTGTTTCAAATATGTCCATCCTTCAAGTTTAGTTTTAACTGTGTTTCAAAGTCGTTGAGACAGGTAATAGTCGCTACGGGGTCTGCACCTGCTAGTATAACATTCATTGATGTTATTTAGCTTTCAGTCAGCCTCAGACCTATAAGCTTATGATAAAGCTTCTTACCAGGCCTAGGCTGTAAGTTCCTAGATGTATTTCTAGTGCTCCCCTATTGGCATACAATATTGATGTTGTTTCTCTAGCCACACACTTAACTGTTTTCCTACTCTATCTTTTCTTTACACGGTGCCAAGCACTGTCATAATAGTTCTCACATGTTACATAAACTCACCTTTTCTCTCCAGAATCAATTATACTATTTTAAAGTAAAAGTCGCACCATTTTCATATTTTTGGTTTTCCTCTCTTTCCATTGAAATTATATACTACTACTTTACCTGAACTTTCAACACACAAGGTTTTTGCTTTTAAAAACTAGAGTTACTAATGTTTGTATGGCATCACAAAGCTAAGCACAAACAACACAACCATGCAGTAGATTCAGGAATATTACCTTGATAGACTACATTTACATGACTATTATGTCCCAAATACATCTGCTGGTTTGGGCATGTTGCTTGGATTTTGCTCGAATGTGTATGTATGTAGGTACAATAGTAGGTGAGTATCCATATATGGAAACACTTTATAATAAATACAACTGTCCAACAATAGAGTGGGTTGGCTCATAAAGTGGGAGGCACCCTCTCTCGGAATGCATTTAAGAATCTGTAGAGCAGGATGCAAGGGATATCTGTACAGGGTAGAAAGTAGGACTGGATGATCTTCAGGCCCCCTTCTGCCTTTCAATTATTAAGATTCTAAGTCCTTGCTTGATATTTCATTTGTCTTGAATTCCCTTCTATCCTTATTCTTCCTAAATCCTTGCTCCAAAAGTCAACTCAGACATTGGCTTTCTCTGACATCTGTGTTTCTGACGGGATTATCTCAGTGTTCTCATTTAAGATAGTATTAATACATACCTTGCTTTAAAAATGAAACACTTATTTTAAGTAAGGGCAATTAAAATTTTTTCTCAGAGTTTTTCTCATCTCTCAAGTCACATAAGTGCATTATAGAAAAATTTAAACATAGAGAACAGAATATTAATAATTGATGCAATATTAATAGTAACTAGAATGCCCAGGTACTGTACTATGTTAATGTTCACACCAGTCTTGTATCAAAGGTGCTATTATTACTCCTGTTTTACAGATTAGAAAACTAAGGCACAGAAGTTAAGTGTCTGTTTCACAGAAGCTTAGCTAGAATGTCATTATTATAATGTTACTTGTTAATCGATAGGTGAAAATAGCATGTTTGCTTTAAAACCAACTCCATATCAATGATTTATTTATATGTCCCCCACTTTAGACTTCAAAGTCCTCAAGAGTAAGGACAATCTTGTCTCTCTGGCCCCAGCACTAAGTAAGGGGCCTAGTATGTAACAGATTAAAAAATCTTATTAAAGGGATATGCAATATCTCTATTATATCTTACAACTGCCTGCAAATCTACAATTATCTCAAAGTTTAAAAACGTAATTGCTCTGTATTGACATTGCCCTAGGTTCCACTTTGAAGGAAAGAAAACTAGTAAGCTTTGAGGAACAGTGGCTGGGAGTCCTACCTGCTCTTCCTTGGTGACAGAGATTTATAGCAGCATGGCCCAGTAGAAAGAACACTGGAATGCAGACAGACTCGATTTTGCATTCTGGCTTCAAAGCTTTAGGCACATTACTTAGCCTCTTTTAGTCTCTGTTTTCTTATCTGCAAAATGGGCTACTGAAACATTTCCTGCTAATATAAAAACAGAATGCTCCTCTACTTTCTCTTCAGTTGGCCTAACCCAAATCCTGGCATAGAATAGGTACTCAACAAAAAGATAATCATCTCTCCCTCATCCAGCCATGTCCTACCCAAATTCCTGATTGTACACTTACAGCACACAAATAAGTCCATTTTTAGCATCCGTAGAGTTTCTCAACACAGAAATAATGATCACATTCTCAGTCCACTATTAACATTAATTCCTGAACTTTATGTGTGGATAGGAATGTTGTTATGGTTTAAAACAACAACCGCCACGAGGAATGAAATTTTAAAGATTATTTAATTTTAATTAATTTGTATTTAAATTTAAATAGCCACATGTGGC